CAAGATAAGTTCTTCTAGAACATGTTGAACACAAAATACCTGTACTTGCTACTTCAGTACTATACATTGGTTGATATCAAATCTATATGAATATCCTGTACTTTCTACTTCTTACATGTTTGAAACTCCAAATACCTGTATTAATCTAGTTCCATATCCTGTTACCATGTGGTGACACAAAATACCAGGAAGCATATAGTTAAGCGGACTGTACTGATGGTTGAACTCGATAATTACGCTGTACTGTGCGTAACTGTCTTACATGTTGAACGTCAAAACCTGGACGTTCATAACTTTGACATGTTGAACTCAAATACCTGTACTTTCTACATTCATTACATGTTGGAACTCAAATACCTGTTACTTTCTACTTCTCTCATTTTTCCAAACAGGGCTGTCCATTATTGTTCTATTAATATTAAAGGGAGGTCAGGTACTCTTTAAAACAGCTGCTAGTTATGGGTACTTTTTACTGAAGTACATTTCAAAGTTCTTTACTTTGGACTTGAGTAAAGAAGTTTAGTCAGTATTCTACTTTCACCAGAGTATTTTTAAACACTGATATCAGTACTTCTCTTTAGGAAAGGGTTGGTGTACTTCTACTTGATAAGGATGTGTGTACTTCTACTTGAGTAAAGGATGTGTGTACTTCTACTTGAGTAAAGGATGTGTGTACTTCTACTTGAGTAAAGGATGTGTGTACTTCTACTTGAGTAAAGGATGTGTGTACTTCTACTTGAGTAAAGGATGTGTGTACTTCTACTTGAGTAAAGGATGTGTGTACTTCTACTTGAGTAAAGGATGTGTGTATTTCTACTTGAGTACAGGATGTGTGTACTTCTACTTGAGTAAAGGATGTGTGTACTTCTACTTGAGTAAAGGATGTGTGTACTTCTACTTGAGTAAAGGATGTGTGTACTTCTACTTGAGTAAAGGATGTGTGTACTTCTACTTGAGTAAAGGATGTGTGTACTTCTACTTGAGTAAAGGATGTGTGTACTTCTACTTGAGTAAAGGATGTGTGTACTTCTACTTGAGTAAAAGGATGTGTGTACTTCTACTTGAGTAAAGGATGTGTGTACTTCTACTTGAGTAAAGGATGTGTGTACTTCTACTTGAGTAAAGGATGTGTGTACTTCTACTTGAGTAAAGGGTGTGTGTACTTCTACTTGAGTAAAGGATGTGTGTACTTCTACTTGAGTAAAGGATGAGTGTACCATCTCTTCCTAACGCCATGTGTGAGACGACAGCATGTAAACTCTCACTTTTTGGGAGGCACCTGTCCCACGTTGACTCGAACACAGATGACTTTGCGTGTTTGCATCCCCACGGAGCAGGAGGCGTCGTCGCCCCGCGTTCGGCCGCTGGACGCGTTGGAGGCGGGGATGGAGGTGTCCTCGATGCACTGCCCCCAGGCGCCCGTCTGCCAGTGGTACACCGTGCACGGGTGATCGTTGCAGCCCCTCACCTCCTGCAGGGCGCTGATGTTAGGGCACTGGACGCCTCCTGGGAAGAAAGAGCGTTCTCATCTTAAAGACATGCATTTTCTCACTTACACCTTTTTCATCGTTATTATTCAGTTTATAAAGCACCCTGAGCTTCCTTCAAAGGAATACTCGTAGTGAAGTGTTGTAGGGTTATTATGAATTGACTGAAATGTGTTCCAACCAGCGACAAAGAAGGAGTTCATCACAGGTTGGCTAGCATTCCCATTCTGCCATAAAACCTACAAACGAGCTCTGAGCTTCCATTTCCTCTCGAGTCGTTGGAAAACAAACCATGGTGCAGCAGCATGGAGGGTCTCTTTGTTGGAGGGCTGACAGATGATCTGACCCAGCCGGAGGGGGGTTAGAGTTACAGATTTGGCCCCAGGTGTGAACACCATGTGACCCCCTTCACCTTCACCACCAAACCTGGTCATTTGCAGCAGCCATCAACCCCCCCGAGGCCAGAGTCAGCCATTAGCGCCTCAGAAACATCGGAAAGTCTCCCAGAGACGAAGCAGGCGCGTCTGAGTCGGTCTGACCTTCACAGGGTCGCTGATACAAAGATCTTATTGGATCTCAGCGGGCGGCCATTCATCAGGCAGGAGCTCATTAACTGTTCCAGAGACACTCCATTACCGCGGCCCTCGCTAAGCGAAGAGTTCATTGATAAAAGTCAATTACTACAAATGAAACTCAACAGGAAAAGATGCACGGCTCAGATAACCTGGTGATCTTAGGGTTAATTAATAAACACTGGACGGCTTTGCTCTCTAGTATACCTTCTTTTGGTCCATTATGGCTCATTCTGGTGTGTTCTGTATATTTGACACTGTGTATAGATACTGTTAACATGTACATATTCACTGTTTACGTTTGTTTTCATTTGTTCATGTTCCTTGTCCTCACACATTACAGCGGGATGTAACTTTATGAATACATCATTTCCAGTGAACTCTAGTCAGTGAAACGACGGATAGGAACGTAGGTTCAAAATGACATTTACACCAAGTTTAAAAAAAGAGTAAGCGACAACAAATGAAGCCTTATGGTTTTTAATGGAGAATGATTTCAACCTTTGCAGGAGGGCTTCTTCCATTAACCCTCTGTGTGCTGACCTTTGCTGCACACAGAGCAAGCGACTGAAATTGCATGAAAACGTATTTTGCTTCTACTAATTTTGTTTATTTGTCGGATGTATAAATTGTCTGATATTGAAATAGTAGAATAAATAATACAAAAATAAAAATGAAGCCTCATGGTTTTTAATGGAGAAAGATTTCAACCTTTGTTCGACTCCTGCCCTACTTCCTGCCCTTTGCTGCACACTGACGTCTCAGTTTGATGCAGAGACCTGTCACATGACCTGTCACATGACCTGTCACATCTTTCACATGACCTGTCACATGATCTGTCACATGACCTGTCACATCTTTCACATGACCTGTCACATGACCTGTCACATGATCTGTCACATGACGCTTCACTCAGCACAAACACCATCAACCTGTCTGTCTGCACGCTGTCTCCCATCCATCACACCTAGCTAAAGGCTAGCAGCGCTAACAGCAGCCGGCTGTTCTGGCACGGCCTTCCTCTGTGTGAGGCTCCATCCACGTGACACACAGTGGAACTCACGGCGGTGAGGATGGGCCAAAGATTTAACGCTGAAAGATAAACGCTGATGTTCTGCCAAACCAGATGCTTAACCGTATGTGCAGTTTTAACGAGGTTTAGTCAGTCCTCCTCACAGTGTGATGATTGGCACCTTTTAGATATCTCACACTCACCTTGGGGGTGAAACACTTCATGCTTCAGGAAGTCTATTTCTAGAAGAGACTATTCTAAAAGGCACGGGGATATTGTTGGGCATGCAAACTAACGAGAAGAGATTACATCTGTCTACATCCCTCTAGTTATTAAACATGTGTTTTATACATACGATCACTTAACTTGACATCAAGACTTCAACATACCCACTCTGGTGTGGTTGAATAAATAACAGACAGGCTTTAGTAGATGTTTGAGAATGTAAAGGCAAATAGATATTTAAAAAGCGAGAAAAATGGGTTTTGTCATCACATGTTTCCTGAAGACCGGTATAATCCAGTTACAGGATGTGGAAAAAATACATTCAGATTTTTCATTATCATCCTTTAATGATGATGCTAATAAAGCATTCATACGCCCACCACTCACCTGGGGGTTAACACACTTAATGCAGAAATACCAGCACATCTAGAACTACTGTGTCAGAGGTTTCTTTCTATTCTCAAAGCACGGGGATTTTGCTGGGCCAGCAAATTGTCAGGGAAATAGATTACATCAAGGCAGAGACACTGCTACATCCCTCTAGTGATGAAACATATGGAGGCTACGTCCTACATCAGCAAAAAACCACGTCTAGGAACATCAAATATGAATGTACCGAAGATTGGGTTGACCAGCGACAGCAGGGAAGGACCTTGAACAGAAGCAAAGGGAAAACCCTGGTGATTTTAAAAAGAGAGATGTTATAATGATCAACACTGTGCTCCTGCAGCCTTTCCTTACCCTGCATCACGGTAACCCACGCCACTACCTTTGCCGTCGCTGCGGAGGAACACACAGAATCATTCATTGACATTTTGGGCTAAAAAAAGGCAAATGAGAAACGCGACAAAACCTAAAACGGCTGTGGTGACGGTTATAGATCCGTCCGTCAGATACAGATCTTTGTGGAAAGCTGGGTCGGGGTTATCTTTGCTCATATCCCATCAAGTGAATAATTGATTGAAAGGTCCGTAAGAGTCACGTCTAAACCACTTAATGCTTGGTTGGAGAGTCCATTCTGATTGGTCAGTTTGGACTTCCTGCCGTCTGTATCATAGGTCCAGTCGCGTCAACCCGCAGAACATAAATCAGGTTACATTAACATAAAGACTTATTGATTTACTGTAACTCATCAGAAAACACCAAAAAAGACTTTTAAATATTCATGTTTAGATTTCTGAAGAGCATGACAAATGTTATTTTCCATTTAACCCTGAGCCTAGTGTTTACTTCCTGTCTGCTGCTCTGTCTTTTAACCTCTTTCTTTCTCTTGTCTTCACGCGGGACAGTTTAACTATATCATGGATCCAAATCCAAATATAAACATTTCAATTAAAAAAGTATTCCACTGTGTTTTCTGATGGAGGAAAACCAATGGGTTTTGATTTAGTTAAATTGACGGGACTTCTTTCAGCGGATTGATATGAATGCACATTAGACGGCTTTTAAGAAACAACAAACTGCTGAATGTCCAAATTGACCAATCAGGAACGAGTATTGAACAAAACTCTTCCTTGTTCATGTGATGTTTTGGTGTTGTTGTTGTTGTTGTTTTTGTTTTTGTTTCTTTCCGTTAACTGTTAAGTGGGAACTTAGTATTATTTTGTACGTTTTTGTGTTTCTCTTATTTTCCTACGATACTGTTCTGATTGGCTGAGAATACGAAAATATAAAGGACAGACCATTTATTTCTATTTCTATTTATTTAGGGGAAAGGGTAATATCAGGTTTATTTTCTCCTCCCTCCTTTTCGGTACGATGTGTTTACAGAGAACATGTTTTGTAGATAACATTGTTATACATTAAGTTGTGTAGAAAAGCACGGAGATATTGTTTGGGCAAGCTAACGAGAAACATCTTTCAACATCCTCGTAGTTATTAAACATCTGTGATTTACTAAATACGTCAATCACTTAAAATCATTTATAAACATAAAATCACATAACCATACTCCACTCTGGTGTGGTTGAATAAATAACATGAGGAGGTTTTTAAAGATGTTTGAGAATGTAAAGTAAGTAGATATTGGAAAAAGCTAGAACATGTGTTGAAATCAGGTTTCGTGTAGAGCAAGCTATCATTACGTTGTGTGCATACCATGAACGGAACAAATAGAAATGAAATGAAATTGAAAAAGCTGGCGCCAAAGTGATTCTCAGGATAAATGAACGTCTTGCATTAATGTCTCTCTGCACACCTGTCTCTACCTGTGTTGTCTCCAGCTGCAGACCTATTGTGTGTACATGTCCCCTCTGCAGGACCTATTGTGTGTATAATTCCCTCTGCAGGACCCTTATTGTGTGTACATTGCCCCACTGCAGGATATATTGTGTGTACATGTCCTCTCAGAAGGACCTATTGTGTGTACATGTTCCCCTCTTGCAGGACCTATTGTGTGTAACATGACCCCTCTGGCAGGACCTATTGTGTGTACATGACCCTCTGGCAGGACCTATTTGTGTGTGTACATGACCCCTCTTGCAGGACCTAATTGTGTGTACCATGTCCCCTCTGCAGGACCTATTGTGTGTACATGACCCCCTCTGCAGGACCCTATTGTGTGTACCATTGTCCCTCTGCAGGACCCTATTGTGTGTACATGACCCTCTGCAAGGACCTATTGTGTGTACATGACCCCTCTGCAGGACCTATTGTGTGTACATGACCCTCCTACTGCAGGACCTAATTGTGTGTACATGACCCCTTCTGCAGGACGCTATTGTGTGTACATGTCCCCTCTGCAGGACTATTGGTGCGTACATGTCCCCTCTGCAGGTATATATTGTGTGTACATGTCCCCCTCTGGCAGGACTTATTGTGTGTACATGTGCCGCCTCTGCAGTGAACTATTGGTGTACATGTCCCCTCTGCAGGACCTATTGGTGTGTACATGTCCCTCTGCAGGACTAAAGGTAATTCTGATGTCTCTGACCTCTCCAGCGTTGTAAGCCAGGATGGACGGCTCGCTCTGTGCTGTTGCCCTCGGTGTTTTTCCCCGGAGCAGGTGTTGGAGCAGAGGGTCCCAGGAGCTCACAGGGGGGCTCAGGGCACAGTCCTTTGGGCAAGGGCACCTCCGCAGAGGGCAGCAATGCGGCAGGATGGCATCCCTCTGCAGAGCTGCCTCCTCCACAAACTCTTCCTGGCAGCAAAGATGGAAGGTATTGAGAATGATAGGCTATGGTCAGACGATACAAAGACATCCAGCTGGGA